TGGCGCTAGAACCCGAGGTGGCAGCATGGAACATTCCAACTGCTGATGCTCGAGCCCCAGACTGCAGTGTGGACCAGTCCAATTGCTGGTGCTAGAACCCCGGGCCGCAGCATGGACCATTCCAACTGTTGGCCCTGGAACCCAAGGCTACAGTGGAATATTCCAACTGTTGGCCCTAGAACCCATAGCCTGCAGCATGGACTATTCCAAATGTCGGTGCTAGAGCTAGAAGGTGGATCGCTCCATCCTCGCGTAGCAGACAGCAAGGGCAGCATGAAAAGCCCAGGTCATCCGGCAATGGAGAAAGCAGCAGATTTGGGAGGATCGGTGGCACCAGGGAGAGTTAAAACAGAAGCCAAAGTGTCAGCTCAGCTGTCACGCTCCCCTGGCAATGGGACGCTGTAAGCCTCAGAGACTGTTTCTTGCAAGAGACTATAAAATCACAGGCCCGCAGGCACTGCTTTCGCCCCGTCCTGCTCGCCTCCCCTGCCACCTTTCATAACCTCCCCAGGACTGTTTTCTGCCTTTTCCCTGGCAACAAAGGGTTAGGACCCTCCCTGCTTCACAGATACAAGATGAGACACATTTTCTTCACCAGGCATGCCTAGGTGCGGTTCTTGGCTGAACACGGGGAACCAGCCAATAGGAAAATGTTTTCCTCCCCTCCAGAGCTGTCCCAGCAGGCTGACAGAGCAACGGGGCACGCATGGAGGATAGGAGGGTCTGGGCACAGATGGGAAGAGAACAAACTGGGAACGCTGCTGCTCACTGACTCTGAGTGAGCGTGCAGGCTACTCACGGTGTGACTCGTGCCAGTGAGCTGGAGGGAGGGGATCCAGGTGAAACAGGAACACCTCGATGTTAGCAAGGGAGGACCCTAGCTCCATTCTGGACGCCATGCATGTTGCTGAGACAGGTGGCAGTCCTGTACACAGGTCTCACGCAGTAGCGTAGCTAGTGGGGTGCAGAGGAAGCAGCCGCTTCCCCTCAGCTTCTTGCGGGCGGCCCGACTCCCCTTGCCTGGGGCTCCCCTCGCCCGCCGCGGGGCACGGGCTCCTCCTCTGCAGCACTGCCCGCCATGGGGCTGGGGCTCAGGCTCTCCCGGGGCTCTGCTCTGCACGCGCCCAGCACCCCCTGCCTCCCTGGACTGGCCCTAGATCCCCTCCCCCAGGGGGCTAGGGTCCTGCTGCGGCTTGCGCCCCTCTGCCTCCTCCGCGGGGCAGGCAGCCCCAGGGGGTTGAGGCCGTGCCACCCCTTCCCCAGCTTCCCCCTCCAGCAGCCCCCGCACCGCCCTGCCGGGCCTGTTCAGCCCTCAGCCCCACCGGGTCCTGCCCTGCCGGCCCTCATGCAACCCGTCCCTACCGTGCAGGGGGTGGCCGCGGCCCGGGGGGACTGGGGGAGCCGCAGCAAAGCCCCGGCCGGAGCTGGTGCAGGAGATGAGCGGGGCTCTCAGCCCAGGCTCCGGCATCAGCCTGCAGCGGGGAGCGGAGCCACCCCCCGCCGGCTTGGCTCAGCCCAGCCCGCTCTTAAAGGGACACGGACCCCACCGTGGCTCGGCCCGGCCTGGGGCACGTGGGGGTGTCACCTCACCCCCCCGCCTGGGGGGCCCGGCGAGGGGGGTGCTCGGCACCGTAGCTGCGCAGAGGGGAGGCCAGCGCGGAGTGGACCCCATGAGGGTGGGGGTGGGAAGCGCGACATGGCCGGAGGATTTCAGTGGGAGTTAAGCACAGAACAGCTTTGAGACCTACAGCCTAAATCGCCAAGGAAGACAGAAGAAATGGTATTATCCCCATTGTACAGATGGGGAACCGAGGCACAGAGAGAGTGGCTCAAGTTCACACAGAACAGTCTGAGACAGGGGTAGGAACTGAACCCCTCTCTCGAGTCTTGGACCGCTGCCCACAAGCCCATCCTTCCTGTGCAGGATAAGGAGATGTATATGCACAGTGCAGCACCCCGGCAACGCTGAGCTTCCGTTGCCTGGGTGGAGCTGATCCACCGAACAGCCCCTGAGGGTCGGTTACTGCTGCTGCGACGCAGCCGGGCTCCAGGCGGAAAGTAGGGCTGAGAGGAGGAACAGCAGAAAGAACATCTCTCCCCTCAGGCTCCGATCTAGTCAGATTTCATCAACAAAGCGGGGTTGGGCCAGGCCAGCACTATGGTGAGAGATCTTGCAGGAAAAAACCTGGCCCTTCGTGATAATCACATGTGCTGTGGGCACATCTCCCAGGAGTAGGAGATGGGATGTTAACCAGTGTTCCGGCAAAACTCAAGTGGCACAGCAGTTTAATCTCCCACCATTGCAGGATTGCTCCTGACAATGTCTTCTAGTGAGTCATCCAGCCTAGATGTCAATATCTCCAGGGATGGAGCTTCCATTGGAAGACTATCACACAGTCACATAGATCCCACTGTTGAGGGTGTTTCTCTTGATATTTATCCTGCACCATATTACTTTTTTTTTTTTTAACCATCCCGTTATTTCTAGTTACAACTTCTTGGATCATTCTCTTTGACCCTGAAATAGTTGTGGCTTTAGGTGGCCTGTCCCACCTTGGTTATTACTTATTCAAGAGAACTGTGTTTGGATGAGTACAATCTGACACCCTAAATTCTTTCTCTGTGTTCCCCTGGCAACGGGTATTCTTGGTTCCTCTCTTCCATAAATTGTAGGCCAGTATCGCTGTACGTAGCCAGCTCTGAGGAAGGGACTGAAGGGCAGGAACAAAATCCGTTTGTGCCATAGATGATTTGTAAAAAGAATCCATTCTGAGAGGTAATGTGAGGAAAATCGGCAGATCTGATTTTTATTCCCCGCTCTCCCACTTACCTGCTGGGTGATCTTTGGCATAGCACTTCCTCTTTCTCCTTTGGCATGTCTCTTTAGATTGTAAGCTCCTTGGGGCAGGGACTGTCTCTTATTAAGTGTCTGTGCACTGCCCCGTAATGGGGGGCTGTCACCTCGGGGCAACTGAAATACAAATAATAAGAACATAAGAGCATAAGAACGGCCATACTGGGTCAGACCAAAGGTCCATCTAACCCAGTATCCTGTCTACCAACAGTGGCCAATGCCAGGTGCCCCAGAGGGAATGAACAGAACAGGTGATCATCAAGTGATCCATCCCCTGTCACCCATTCCCAGCTCCTGACAAACAGAGGCTAGGGACACCATCCTTGCCCCTCCTGGCTAATAGCCACTGATGGACCTATCCTCTATGAATCTATCTAGTTCTTTTTTGAACCCTGTTATAGTCTTGGCCTTCAGAACGTCCTCTGACAAGGAGTTCCACAGGTTGACTGTGCGTTGTGTGAAGAAATACTTCCTTTGGTTTGTTTTAAGCCTTCTGCCTATTCATTTCATTGGATAACCCCCTAGTTCTAAGCCTGAACCAAGATTAAGTTTAGGTGTGTTTGAGGTTGGAGCTGGACACTTTGCAGAAAAAGCTGCCTCATCTCCACCCCAGAGGAGGCTGCATTTCAGTGACGCGTGAACAGCTTCCCGGGTACATGCAATACTGCAGTGGCCATTGGACGAACAGTGCTACATAGACCGTCCCTCTTTCTTGCTAAGAATCTGCATTGCTCTGTGTGTTCCGTTAGACATTCCAACGGCTTGCTGCATTCTTTGCATTCAGCCTTCCTCAGTGGTGACCCTTACCTATGAGGGAGGCCATCAGGTTACTGCAAACCGTGCTCAAATGATCATCGCAGTTGCCTGCCCTGATTTTGATCTCTCCCCTGACCTGCTTCCCCCCTTGCATAGCCTCATCTATATGGTCTGCAGTCCCAAAAGCTCTGATTGTTGTTGTCTTTTCCTAGTACATCCAGGTGGGATGCATTTGCTCTGGTGCTGAGTGTACCAGGCTCCGGGTAGCCATGCTGCGGATTTCCACGCGAGGTTCCTAGACAACGGTGCTACAAAGGAGTGTGTTGCTTATTGAACTTCCCAGTCCAGAATCGCTCCCCGCACTGCAGACTGGCCTCCCGCTATCAGCCACTCCCAGTTTCCGTGCCGCCCATGGTATTTGGCAGTAGCGCTGCGTTTCTGAAACCCTTTGCCCTTTTCGATCTGGTTGGCGCTCCAGATTTCACGCCCTTTAGAGCGCGACAGGTCAAACCCCCGCGGTCCTTGAGCGTCAGGAAAAAAGCCTCCAATAAACAAAAACTGGCAAAGAGCAAAGGTCAAAGATGGTTCTGAGCTGGCTGGAGGCAGGATCAGCCATCCCAGGGTGGAGAAAGGGTATGGAAAAGATTCGGCTCTCTCTGGAATTACATGCCTGCATACAAAGGCTGCCACCTGCAGGGATATGTGACGCTGATGAGAAGGACTAATAAGAAAGAGGAATGGGAGGATCGGTCGATTAGTTACACAATGCGCAGCACATGATAACCAAAGCACCACCAAGGGTGCGCTATGTTTAGGGTCGGCAGACAGTGGTTAGAGATGAATTCAGGCTGCAGCATTCAGGGGTGTTAGGCTGTGGGCTTCTCGTGTGAGCCCACCTCTGCCAGGAAGTCCCAACAGTCTTTGGGCCGGTTTAGTTACACCTGAGATAAAAGGCTCCTCTCGCCCTGAGCCCCACCAGAGAGAGTCAACGGTGGGGATTGTGCAGTACCTGTTTTCATAACTCACCCGTCCATGATGGCTAACGCTGTTAAGGGCTCCAGAGAGGTGTGTCTGTGTGAGAAGGGGGTGGGGCCGCATCTTGGCTCCTCCCCCTGGGTGCCAGCAGAGCTTCATTGGGAGAGTGCTGGCCTCGCCTCCCCCTTCCCTGCGGTGCCATTACTGAGTGCTAGAGAGGAGAAAAGGAGGCGGGGTGAATTGCTAACTCCATTTTTATTCCCCTTGGCAGATCTTCACCCGCGCTGGACGCCTCGGACCCCGACCCTGATGGGGTCTGACAGCCCCATGCCTTTCACCAAAGACCCGTACGATACCGAAGGCATCGCCAGCACCCTCGCAGATACAGTCACCACCGTCCTGGGTAGCTCCCAGCCAGTCGTGAGCCGCGGCACTGCCGATAACCTCATCCCTGTCTACTGCTCCATCCTGGCAGCCGTGGTGGTGGGGCTAGTGGCCTACATTGCTTTCAAAAGGTAGGCAGAGGCCAATGCCCTGAGGGATTCTAGGAACGGAGGGAGAGATCCAGGAGTGGGGAAGGCTGCCGGCCTCAGACTGAGACCCAGGGCCGTTACTGCTTCATTGGGCAGCTTTCTCTAGCAGCACCTGATCGTCTTGGGACCTGTGGTGATAATGGGTCCGATTTGGAGTTTTACACAGCTTTACACTTCGCACTGGTGCAAATGACAGCACCGGAGGGGCACCTATGGGAGTTGGGCACTCGTCTCCTATGGAAGGCCAAGGGGAGTTGGGCACTCACCTGCCCTGCAGTGCAGAGCAATGGAGAATGGGGCCCTATGGGTCTCTCTCGCCTATCCTGCTCTTTCTTTAGCTCGCTCATTTCCCTTGGGGGGGTGCTTGTAATTCCGAGACATTCTGCAACGCCGTCACTTTCAGTGTCTTGCACCCTCTCACCCCTTTGTGCACCTGGTGCCTATGCAGGTCGCAGCTGGTTCAGTGTTTGCACAGAGGGCTACGATTTCTCCACATACCCACGCACTAGAAATAATCCCTAATCGCTGTGCTTCCTAGGGAGGAGGCTGAATTCTCTGCTAAGGAAACTCCCACTGACTAATCAGTGATGCCAGCAGAGGTGCATCTATACCCCCCCCAAGACATTCCCATGTGCGCACCCACAAGCATGTTCACACATGCACACCACACGGTTTACACGTGCATATTCTCACCCAACTACCTGTGTGCACTGAGTCACTAAATTCACCTTCAGTTGCCTGTGCGCACACAATCCCATGTGCTTTTGCATTTCGCTCGGTGCAGTGATTCACACGCACACACCCACATGCTGTTTCACAGGCATTTCCAGGTGCACACACCAAAGCATATCAACACATGCATTTACATGCGTGCACGCACAGTTTAACATGCATGTATATGAGCACACACAATCACAGATGTATTATGGATCAAAATGCAGCCATTTGATTAGCCCTACACTCGCGGTCCATTATTAAAAACATTCAAGAGATCCAAGCATAGAAGCGTAGGACTGGAAGGTAGGGTTACCATATGTGGAGTGTCCCAAAAGAGGACACTCCACGGGGCCCCGGCCCCGCCCCCCGCCCATGCCCCCGCCCCAACTCCGCCCCCTCCCCTGCTTCCCGTGAACATTTGATTCGCGGGAAGCAGGCAGCAGGTAAGGGGGGGGGGAGGGAGGTGAGGCGGCGCGGCGCGGGCCAGCCCCCGGCCGAGCACCCCCC